TTATAATCTTTGATTTCTCTCCTTCCTCCCACCCTGGTAACCAGTATAATCTTTGGTTTCTCTATTCTTGCTTATTTGACATAAATGAGTTCATATAATATTTGTCCTTTTGCAACATATTTATTTTCCTCAACTTAATTTCTTAACTTCATTTATGTGGCAGTTGGATTCAAAGGTCCTATTAGGGTTTTTTTTCTGTTTTTAGTACATTTTTACTTATGTCTGCTAGTATATTTATGTCAAAAATTAAGCTTTCTAATTTTTCCTTATGTTATCTTTCAGAAACTTTAGAGCTTTAAGTTTAACATTGAGGACTTTGATTCATTTTGAGTTAGCTTTGGTATACGGTGTGAGATAGGGATCCTGTTTCACTTTTTCTACAAGTGGGTATTCACATGACCAATGCTATTTGTTAAAGAGACGCTCTTTCTCTCTCAATGGATTTTGACTGTTGAAAATAACTGTCCATAGGTACATAGATTTACTTTTGGGGTCTCAATTCTATTTCATTAAGTCTGTGGGTCTGCTGTACTGATATCCAGCTGTTTTGATACTGTGGCTGTGTAGTAAATTCTGAGATAGGGAACTGTGAAGCTTATTCTTTAAAAATTTTTTTTTATTTTATATTGATTTGCTTACAAAGTTCCTATACATTGCATTTCACAGTATTCTTTATTTATATTGTTTCATATAATCATTCTCATGTTGTTGTTAAGTGCCTTCAAGTTGCCTGAGATTCATTGCAACCCTAGGTACAACAGCTCTGAAGCCTGCTCTGTCCTAAGCCAGTCTCACTAATTCTTTTTTAAATTTTTTTATTGTTATTAATTTTAATGAAAATTTAGAGACTTTGGATTTCCATTCATTCATTGTTGCACTTTTCTCCTTGCCCATCCCTCTCCCCACCCAGTACAATCTTCTCTTTGAAAAGTAAAAGAAATACTCGTTCATTGTTTTACAGTCCCTCTCCCCAGGTCCACTCCACTATGCAGACTTTGTTCTGAACTCCTGTCGTGACAATAATACCTAATCACATATCCCTTTTAAACAGTTTTCTCCCTCATCTGTTTCAATGCAGTATACACAATTTATCCCATCTTTCTCTGTCTTCCCCAACCCCTATGTCAGTCCTGTTTTACAACAGTGGCCCTATGCAGTATTTGTCCTTTTGTGATTGAGATACTTCACTCAGCATAATGTCCTCCAGGATGAGTTCCTTGTTTTTCAATGCAGTGTGGTATACCATTGTGTGAATATACCACAGCTTCTCTATCCATTCGTTTGTTGGAGGGCACTTCTATTGTTTCCAACTCCTTGCTATTGTGAACAAAGCCACGATAAACATGGGTGTGCATATATCTGCTTGAATGGCAGTTATGGTCTCTTTGGTGTATATTCCCAGTAGTGGAAATGCTGGGCAGTCTCACTAATTCTGACATACTAACCCCCATTGCTCTAGTTACTGTATCAATCCATCTCATCCGGGGTCTTCCTGTCCTGCATAATCTCATGCATTGTTGTTGTTGATTGTCTTCGAGTTGAGCACGACTCATAGCGACCCTATGAACAAAAGGCCTGAAGCCTTTCTATAACTATCGATGTTTATCAAAGTTCATCGAGTTTCCAGAGGCTGTTGTTTAGGAAGTGGATGCCACTTGTGCTTTATGCATTGTTTTATAAAATTAATTACCATTGGACTATGTCCACCATTTGTCTTTTCAGTTCCATGTTGGATCTTTTCCATTTCCATTAATCCCTCCCTTCACCCACCAAATTGTACAAACCTGTGGTTTTGCCCCACCCATCCTCACCTTGTGCTTCCACCCCTTCCTCCCTTGGGTCCCCATAAATGTTTTACTAGTTATCCTGTTTTTGCAGTAATGATCTTACGCAGGTTTTGTCCTTTTGAGACTGTGTTAGTTCCTAACAATGCTTTCTTTAGCTATTCTGTTCTTCTTCCTATTCTACATAAAGTTGAAGATTGTTGTTGATGTGTACCGTGGAGTTAGAACCAACTCATAACTGACCCTCTGGCAGGTTTTCAGAGGCAGTTAATTGGAGGGGAGGAGATTGCCCGTCCTTCTCCCACTGAGCAGCTGGTGGCCTTAAACTGTGTCATTTTGGGGCTGCAGCTAAGTTTCTTGCCACTAAAGTAGAAGATTAGTTTTTCCTTTTTATTAAGATTGTTGTGCTTTAGATCAGGCTTACTTTCTATTTAGTTTGCTTTGAGAAATACTAACATTTTCAATGTTAGGTCTTCCAATGCATGAACATGGTGTATTTTTCCATATATATATATATAGGTCTCTTTTGGCTTCTTGCATTTTGTAGTTTTCTCTGCATGAGTCTTTTATGTAACTGCTTGTATTTATTACTGAGCATTTTGTCATTGTAGAGATATAGACGATCTTGTTTTTGTGTTTCCTTTTGTTCGTTGACCTTATACCATTCTATTCCAGTAATTTTCTTATGGGACCTCCTAGATTTTATGTGTATAGAATCATGTGAGTTTTGAATAGGAATAGCTTGACTTCTTCCTTTCCAACTCAGTTGTCATTTATTTCACTTTCTTGCCTTATTGATATGATGGGACTTCAGTACAATAATAAATAAGAATGGTGCTATTGGGTATCTCTCTCATTCTTATTCTCATGGGAAATGCTTTCAATCTCTCCCTGCTGAGAATAATGTTGGCTGTTGGTTCCATGTAAATATGTTCGTAATTATTTGAGGAAATTTCCACAATTTCTCTTTTTCTGAGAGTTTTTATCAGGAAAATAGTGTTGGATTTTATTGAGTGCCTCTCTGCACTTTTAGAAAAGAATCAGGGAATATTCCTTTTCTATGTTCTGGAGTAGTTGGAGTAGAGTTGGTATCAATTTTTCTTTGAATATTTGTAAAATTCTCCAGTGACTTGGGTTTTTTGTTTTGTTTTTATTTTGGTGATGAGTGGGAAAAGACTGAGGCGTTTTAAAAAATTTTAGGTTTTATTTCTTCTTTGACAATGTTATCTGTTTGCATTTTCTGCCTCTATTCATGTTAGCTTAGGTAGCAAGAGTTTTTATTCTAGAATTATGTCTGTTTCCTGTAGATGTTCAAATTTGTTGGTGTTTACTTTTTCATGATATTCTATTGTTGTTGTTTACTGTCAAGTAGGAACCGACCCATAGTTGAGCCTCTGGCAAGTTTTCAGAGGCAGTTAATAATCACCAGAAAAGATTGCCCATCCTTTTCCTGCTAATATTAGACTAGAATCCTTTTTATATTTGCCTATTAATTTTTTATTACTGCATCAAGAATTTACCCCAAACTCAGAGATTGAAGGCAATACATATAGATCATCTTACAATTTTGTAAATAAGAAGTAGTAACTCAAACTTTGCTTCTCTCGTTCCTTTTCCCTGACTCGTCTGCTTCCCTGTATTCCCTTATAAGAACCTCATGCTTACATGGGGCCTACTCAGATAATCCCTAGACAATTTCTCCATCTTGAAATCCTCAATTTAATAAAATCAGCAGTATCCTTTTTGCCATAAAAACACATTCACAAACTGAAATGTTATCATTGTTATTGTATGCTGTGCTATCAGAAGTACAAGTGAATGAGGTTAAGAAATGTATTTTCTGAGTTTCAAAGGCTAGAAGTTCAAAAAAGGCTGGCTCTAGAAAGTTTTTTCTATTATTCCTGGTGCTAAGAGGTTCTTAGCACAGGGACCCTGGAGCCAAAGGATACACTTTACCCTCCACTCTTCCTTCTTAGTGGCTGTAGGTCCTTCGGATCCCAGGTTGCTTGTTTAATCACTTTTCAGAAAAGACTGACTCAAGATACAGCCTAATCCTATAGATTGTAACCTGCCTTATAGCTGTAACTGCCACCAATTCTGCCTCATTCTCATGACTAAAAATACCACTTATTGCTGTGGAGTTGAAACTAAGAGCTGACCCTCCAGCGGGTTTTTAGAGGCTGTCAATTTGCACAGTAGATTGCTCATCTTATGAGGACCATCTGGTGGACTCTACCCACCTTTGTGGTACTTACCCACTAGGTACTTACCCCTTAGCAACTAGGCCACCAGAGCACCTTATTAACATAATGTAGTTGTGTGCCGTGGAGTTGGAACTGACTCAATAGCTGACTCTCCAGTGGATTTTCAGAGGCAATGAATTACATAGGAGATTACCCATCCTTTCCCCACAGAGCAGCTGGTGGATTCAGATTCATGTCTCTGGGATTGTTACACAGCTTTTAACCACTTGGCCACGTGAGCACCCTATTAACAGAAGTTTAAATTTTTAACAGGTTAATTATCCGATCACAAAATTGAGATGATTACATAATACTGAGAATCATGGCCTAGCCAAGGTGACACCTATTTTGGGAAATTTATAATTCAATCCACAACCAACTTTAATGTCTTTAAGAGAGGGGTAAAATTGTACTTATTACAGTGGCTTCAAACAGGACTCGTTTGCTCATGATTTAATGAGTTAGCTATTAGTGTTGGGCTTCCTTAGGGTCCTACATAAGTCTAGTGGATTATCTGGGGGTGAATTGTCTATGATGATCCTACTAACATATCCATGTCAAACACAATCTAACAGAGAGCATATCTGCTGTTGCCAGCTGGGCCAGGAGGCTAACTTGGGCTTCTTTTGATGGCAATTTCACCTCTTTCATAGAAAGAGATGAAACTGTAAGATATCTGGTGGTCTGGGCTTGGAAATCACTTAGTTTATTCTCTGACCATTTTGTTGTTCAAAACAAATCACAATTTTACATTTCTACAACTAACTTTATGCACTTTATGCCATCTTGAGTGTTCATATGGTATCTTTGATAGTTTTTAATTAGCATACTCATTTGGTAAATATTGGTGTAATTTCTTGAATTTCACAGTCTAGATGCATCTTCTAAGGCATTTGGTGATTTTAGATAATACTTTAAGTTTTGCAAATGCCTAACCAAATTAATGGTTTTTTTAATACTCTGAAATATGTAGAAACTGCTTGAACGAACCCGGGCCAGGAGAGAGAATCTTCAGAGAAAAATGGCGGAGAGGCCCATTCCCACGTCGAGGCCTGTTCACACTAAGCGAGCTAGAAAACCCCTGGCAGAGGCAAGCAACCAGCCGCCCCTGTCTGGAGGTGAAGGTAAAGACTTTGTGGGGAAAAAGTGAAAACCTGCTTCTTTTAAAAATGTTTTTGAGGAAATAAGAATCTTTTTTTTAATTATTATTAAATTTTATTAGTTTTAATGAACATTTACAGGGATTTTGGGTTTTCATTCCTTCATTGCTGCACCATTCTCTCTACCCTCCTCCCCAGTTTGTTCTTCTTCCCCGCCATCCGAATGTCTGTTTTAATTGTCCAATTGCCACAGTGCTTGTCAAAGTCAGTTCTGATTAATCTTCTTTGTCTGTGTGTCCTTTGCCATTCCCTATCACTCCTCCCTGAGAGAGACTTCACCTTGAGTCATAAGGAAAAGGGGATGGCGTATTCTCTTAGCTACTTCCTGCTGAAGAGGGACGCTGTGGGTTTCAGGGTGAAGATCTTCTCTCACTACTCTAAAGGGCCCCTTTGGCAGTAGGAAACACATAGACTATTATGGAGATTGATTTTGGAATTTAGATGCACTCTTATTGATTGTGCTTGGCCGTACATGTTCATATCCTTGAAGATGTATCATGGGGGTGTTGCAAGAATCTTGATCTCTATTAATCTCTATTAATTTTAAGTCTTCTGGGGGAAAGACTAACCTTCTATCCTGTTTCAGGGTTATTGTATTAATAAAGAGCCCTGATAGTAAGAGTGGTTAGGGTGCCAAAGAATGAAGTAAAAGGTTGGTAGTCAGACCTGCTAGTTGCTCCACCAAAGAAAGAAAAGCAGTTTGCTTTTGTCGAGTTAGAGCCCACTGATGACAACAGCCTATACGGATTGAAGGAACTCTGCTGGATCAGTGGGTAAATACTTTACTAGCACCCAAAAGGTAAACTATTTGAAACCACCAGCTGCTCCATGGGAGGCAGAAGTGGCAGTCTGCTGCTGAAAAGATTATAGCTTGGAAATTTGATGAGGCAGCTCTATTCTGAACTCTAGGATTGCTATGAATTGGGATAGGTGCGACAGCAGTGGAGCTTGGGGTGTATTATTTTAGGTTCAATGCCTATTTGTCCAGAGTTTCTTCTAGCAGATATTTAAAAATTTTTGACTGAAGAAACTTTATTTTCAAATTTTATTGTTCAAACTGTCAAAGGAAGAAGAATGAAGGAACAAGGTTCATCTTCTACCTGCACTACTGTGCAGGAGTTTACACGAAGGCTACCAGGTTTACACGAAGTGTTATACAAGTTCCTTAGAATGTTGTTTTAAGTCCATACATTCCATGTCCTTAAAAAGAAATATCAAATATCAAATTTGTCACTGAAAGAAAGTAGTATTTTGGGTGTTTATTGTTCTAACTGAAATAATAGATATAATTAAATATATTGGCAATGTTTAATTAATTCATTAAGTACCCTCTCTAAGTTTTTCATGAATGCCCTGAGGATGTAAAGAATTTTAAATCCCCCCCCCCTTTCTTTTTAATCTAGAGACGTCTTGTACAAAACCATCACCATCAAAAAAACGCTGCTCTGACAATACTGCAGAAGCTGTTTCTAATTTGGAAAATCAACAGCCTGTTGAGACAGTTCCTGCAAAATCTCAGTCTCCAAGTCCTGTGTCTCCTCAGGCGCAGCCACAGGCACCAGCTGCTGCCAGTGATTCTGTGGCTGGGCCATCATCCCCGCTGGCAGGGACCAGGGGGCTGAACTCAAGATTGGCAGGAACTGCAGCCTCATCAGTTAAAACACGTATGCAGAAGCTTGCAGAGCAACGGCGCCAGTGGGAGAATACTGATATGACAGGTATAAATTATGTGGATAGATGGACCACAGAGCTATATTATTAGCATCCTACTTGCTATTTTTTAAAAATTTTATTCACGGTAACATGAAAAGTGAAAAGCTTTGTTTTATCTTTGTCCTTATTCTCCTGATTAAACAAAATTGTTTTTATACAATTACTTATTCATTGCTGTTGAGTAGGTCCAGATTTATAATGACCCTCTATTAGATATCTGAAGGTATAAGTCCTTATGAGAGATTGTCCATTTTTCTCCCTTAGAGAGCTGGTGGATCTGAACTGCTGATATTTTGGTTAGCAGTCCAATACATTACACACTACCTAACCAGGGCTTCTTTCTATACCTTTAATATATTAACATTTTCCAAATTATTTTGTGACTATTAAAATATCCTCAATGCCCCTGAAGAAAAAGTTCCACTTTTCTTCCCTCTCATTCCCCCTGGTAACCGTTGATAGTATTTGATTTCTTTTATTTGTGATTCTATCTGGGTGGACTGTGTACTCCTAAAAATTTGTCCATTTCATCTGAACTAAATTTGTTCTAGCCATTTTTAATAATCTTCAGCAAGATTTTGCTTGTGTATAATGTAATTGGTATTGTTAACTGATTTCTCCAATCTGCTGATCACCTTGGAATGGGAACATATATGGGTATGTTCTTTCAGTTGGTCAAATTATCTTCCAAAGAAAACATAGACTAGTGAGCACGTCCAGTGCTGCATCTGTTTGTAGAAACAACTCTACTGGAATTCTGGTAGTTCCTGGAGCTTTATTTCCAACCCCCCCATGCCTTTAATGTGATTTGAACTTCTTCCTTACCACTGGTTCTTGATAATGTACTGCTTCCCCAAAAGGTTCCATGTCAACCTATAGTGAGTCAATGCGTTCTTTCCATCTTCTTTTGATGCTTCCTGCATAATTCAAAGATTTTTGTCTCCATAAAATCCTTCAGTATTTTAACTATTAGAAGCAGGAGCAGTATCCACTTCCGAAATGGCTTGCCTCCGGAAACTCTGTGTATGAACAATGCTCAGGCCTTTCGTTCATAGGGTTGCTGTGAGTCGTCTACGACTCGATGGCACCTAACAACAACAACAACAACAACAACAACAACATTTTAACTCAAGGCTTGAAATTGTCCATCAGTTTTTTCAATTTGAGAGAAACTAAAGAAGAATTGATGCTTTTGAATAACAATGCTATTGAAGAGTATTGAATATTCTATGAACTGCCACATAATCCCCCAACAAATTTGTTTTGGACGAAGTGCAAACAGAGTGCTTTCTAGCTTCAGGAAAGGTCTGGACTGTTGTCAGAGGAACCAATGCTTGAAAAAGTCATAATGCTGTGAAAGATAGAGGGGCCAGCAAACAAAACCAAAACCCTCTGTGGATCGACACAGTGACTGTAACAATGGGCTTGAACATGTTGAAGATATTGAGCATGGTGCAGAATAGGACATGGTTACAATCTGTTGTTCACAGGGTCACTATAAGTCTTGTCAACTTGATGGCATCTACTTTGTTGCTCTCCATTTGTTCATAATATTTTGTCATAATTCTCTTTTTTCTATTGAGTTAGTGTCAAAGTCCCTTCTTTCATTTTTAGATTTGTTTATTTACATTTTTCTCTTTGTCATTCCAGTTATTTGTTATCTTTTCAAAGAACCAACTGCTGGTTTTATTTATTCTGCTGCTTTTATTTTCAAATTTGTTTCTGTTCTGATCTGTGTTACTTTCTTTTTCCTGGTAGTTGTTGTTGTTGTTATGTGCCATTGAGTCGCTTGTGACTCATAGCGACCCTATGTACAACAGCCCTAAACCCTGCTCTACCCTGTGCCAATGACACTGCCTCTGACACATCCATCCCAATTACCCCAGTCACTGAATCAGTCCACCTCATAGAGGGTCTACCCCTCCTGTGCTGTCCCTTCACCCTACCAAGCATGATGTCCCTCTCCAAGGACCTGTCCCTCTTTAAAACATGTCCAAAGTATGTCAGACGAAGCCCCAGAATCATTGCCTCCAAGGAGTAGCCTGGTTTAACCCTCTCCAAGATGAATCTGTTTGTTTTCTTGGCAGTCCATGGTATATTCAAT